AAAAAAAAAAAAAAGCAATGACAATCACAATAATAATCATAGTTTTAAAATCGAAGTGGTGATTTATTCGGTTTGGACTCTAAGTCACCGGATCATTTATTCAACTGAGTAACTGATTTTAAAAATTATAAATTACTAATGATATTTTTGTATTTTAACCTGGCCGAGTCAATACCCAGATCGATCGGGTCTAGGAGACGAACGAGACAACCAAATCTATTTATGAGGCATTAATTTAATAATTAGATAAGTCTCAAGGATATGCAATTTAAATTTTTTTGACTATTTTCAATTTAGGTCATGAGTCGGATATATAATTTGTTAAAAATTTAATAAATGCACAATATTGATAAAGTGTCAATAGTGTGTGTATATATGCAGTACTTAAAAATTACTCGTGTTGCAACTTGCACAATAGTGCTAGGCTAATGTACATTAATGACTGTTAGACTGCACATTAGTATAATAATGTATTTTGCGCAATGATTAAAATACCTCCATGTGAAAAATCTAAAGTCCATATAATTACAACAATGTCCACCGCCCCTTTAACAAAAATCAAACCCTTCGACTGTTTCTGGAGCGTTGATCTATCAAATTTGATTGGTACATTTCATTTTTATTTCTCACTATAACTCATTCTTATATGATCCTATTTACATGTGTACCCTTATTGAAAAAATAAAGACTTTAAATTCGGACAACATAGAAAACATTAAAAGATAAAGGGCCAATTACATAATTTTGCCACCAAATGTCCTATAAAATCAACCATCACAATTCCATTCCCCACACACACACACACAAACACACACACACACACACACACACACACACACAAAGGAAAAACGTAAAAACAAAACCTATCCATGGCCATGGCCACAAAGACCACCGCAACATTCTTTGTCTGCATTCTCTGCATGCTCATCTCCCTGCCGCCGGCCTACGCCTCCCAATCCACCTGCCCTCCGCCCTACCCTCCCTACGGCCACCGCCCCTCCCCTCCCAAGCACCGCCCTCACCCACCGTCCCCGCCCAAGCACCACCACCCCATAGTCAAACCTCCGCCGAGAGTCAACCCTCCCATCATCGTGCCGCCGATAATCCTCCCGCCGCCCGTCCTTCCGCCGCCGGTCACAAGACCCCCACCGTCTTACCCGCCGTACACACCTCCCGGCGGAGGCGGAGGAGGAGGCGGCGGTGGCGGCGGTGGTGGAGGCGGAGGCGGAGGCGGCGGCGGCCGGCCGGTCCCCGGACCGCCGCCGGCAGCCACGTGCCCGATCGACGCCCTGAAGCTGGGGCTGTGCCTGGATGTGCTCGGTGGGCTGATACACGTCGGAATAGGGAATCCGGTGGAGAACATATGCTGTCCGGTGCTGCAAGGCCTGCTCGAGCTCGAGGCGGCGCTTTGCCTCTGCACCACAATAAGGCTTAAGCTTCTAAATCTCAATATTTTCCTGCCGCTGGCACTGTCCGTGCTGGCCACCTGCGGGCTGACGCCGCCGCCAGGATTTGTCTGCCCGCCGCTCTAACTGAAGCAGCCAGAGATTAGGGTTTCGTGTGTTTTCTGCATTTGTTATTTTCGTTTCAAATTATGTGTGTTGTTGTTTATATATTTAAGGTTGTTTGTTGTTTTTTGTTTTTTGTTTTTTTTTTTTTTTTTTTTTTTTTTTTTTTTTTTTTTTTTGTTCTGTTCTCTCTTTATGTATGGCTGTTTTGTTTTGATGTTAATTAACTGATAATCAATCTGGGTAATGAATAGAGAATTGTGCAAAAAGCAAAAAATTAAAAATAAAAATATATTCATATTTATATACTAACAAATAAATGTCATAAATTTATTTATATTTACGTGGAATAAATAAATGAACTACTCAATCCGCTATATTGATGATGGGTAACTAATCATGCCTACATTGATGAAATATACAACTTTAACACACCAAATTAGAAGTTAAACAAGTTAGGCGGGCAACTAATCACGTATTCATCCTATGCACATGCACAAAAAAATAAAAATTTATATATTATATGTATGCATATAATATATAAAATTTTATGTTAGATAATATATGTATTACATTTTAAATTTTGACTTATATGTAAATGTGTAAGTTAAATATAAATTATTTAACTTACATATGAATATTTATATTGATTGCATAAATTTTTAATGAACAATATAATTTAGTAATCTAGAGGGACCGATTAGAAAAGTATTACAATTATTTTTATTATTGTTATTGCAATTGTCTAAATGATTTTAAGGTGCTTAATTATGATACTCGTGTCAATTAATTAATATTAGATAAAAAAAACGCTTAAAGACAAAAAAATATTTTAGAAAAAGAATTTTAAAGAAAAAAAATTGCAATACAATTTTTTATGAGTATGTAACTTACACATGCTATTTAATGGGGAAATGCTACGGTCTCCTTACGGTACCATCCGGTCGGGTGTTTTAACCGTTGGATCCACATTTAGGTAGATAAGATAGACGATCTAACGGTTAAAACACCCGACGTGATGGTACCGTAACGGGACCGTAGCATTTTCTCTATTTAATGTAAAATTATAATCAATTAGTGTTAGTAGTATTATTATTATTATAATAAATTAGTTTAAAATTGTTATTACACTTTATTAATGTAAAATGTAACGTTTATGAATTAATTAAAAAAAAATGAGCGGGAAAA